GAAGAGAAGACAAGAGAAGAGAAGAGAAGAGAAGAGACCACGTTATGGATGGAACTAGAAGAAATAGTTCGGCTGGCTATATATATATATGTAAACCGCACATACCTGTTGGACAAAGTAGAAGAAATCGAAGTCCTGGGCGACACAGAGAACCCTAAAACATTGGAACGTCAAAAGCGCAAGAGAAGCAGAGAAGAGGGTCGCTGGCTTCCTTATCATTTTGAGTCTTTCGAAAATCAACAAGCTAAGTGACTATTTTCGTTTTGGTTTTGGGGTTGGGCTTCTGGAAATAATGTAAGAATGGTCGCTATAAATAGTCCTGAGGCGAAGAATATGCTTAATGCAATCTACCTACATGTCAACAAATTGTATCGACCTAGAAATCAACAATCTGATGCAAGCCTACAAAAGCTATAGTAGACATGGAAGACTGGCTTTGGTTGGTCTCTGCCCTGAACAGCCATGGAGGACTATCTAAGCATAGGATCATCAACCAACAATAGTTGAAGGTACAACTTAGCACAACAGCAGTAAAGGGTAACAACTTAGCATTCAACAATCAATAGGAGAACATACATAAACAGGAGAATGCTAGCTTACGCTTGGCGAGAAGAGAGAAGAACAGACACGGAACAAGGCTACAACGAGAAAGCCATGTATAAATCCAAGTTATGGATGCCCTCGAAGCAGAGCTACTCAAGAAACACCAACCCTTCTAGAGCTCTGAAATCGGAAGGAAACCCAAAATATACGACCAAATCTCAACGCCAATCCATCCCTTACGAGTCACACAACAGAGCAGGCGCCAAAATTATACCCTCTTTCGCCGCCGCCGCCGCGGTACGCGAACTCCGTCCTTGCTTCTAGATGGAGCGGATCGAGCTGAACTGAAATCAAAGAACAACAGAAAAATTGAAGATCACCAACAACGATCACTATATACCCAAAAAAAAGCTCGACAAAACAAGAACATCAATTCAATGAATGAGTGCAGAAGAGCATTCCACGCACCTCAACTACGCCGTTCTTCACAAAACAACTAGCCACCAGGCGAGGGGGAGAGAATGACGTAGCAGCAGCACGGGTTAGGAAGGGCGGGGGCGCCAGTTTCCAAACGACGCACCCTTTCATAGCTGAGCGAGCAGTACGAATTTTCGCTTTAATATGGTCCTAGCGTATCTGCGTTGAGCTACTCTGGAGGCGGCGGAGGACATGGGTGGGATGGAGGATGGCTGTGGTTGAGAAGGGGTCGGGACAAGTGGCGGCGGAGGTGAACCGAGTGGTGGCTGGGCAGGCGGAGGAGTAGCTGATTTAAGCGCTTGAGACTTGGATCGAGAACCCCCAGATCTCGGTGATGGGGTGGCGACGAAGGGAATGTTGTGGCTGGGTAGCTCGCCGAGGTACGAATTTTATGGGAATTTACGATCGATGTATCCAACCCAAAATTAGAACGGTTAAACCCAAAACCGTAATCAGACGATCACTCAGCCATATACCCTAAACTCAATCTCACATTAGTTGATAATTAGATGAGCTCAACCCACACTGTAATCAAAAGCTCACTCAATCATATACCGTAAACCAATCCCACATCGGTTAACAAGTAGATGGGTTAAACCCAAAATCGTAATCAGACGGTTGCTCAACCATATAACCTAAACCCAATCTCACATTGGTTGACAATTAGATGGATTCAACCCAAACTATAATCAAAAGCTCAGTCAATCATATACCGTAAACTAACCCCACATCGGTTTACAATTAGAACGGTTAAACCCAAAACCGTAATCAAACGGTCACTCAACCATATACCCTAAACTCAATCTCACATCGATGACAATTAGATGGGTTAAAATCCAAAACCGTAATCAAACGGTCACTCAACCATATACCCTAAACTAAATCTCACATCGGTTGAAAATTAGATGGGTTAAACCCAAAACCGTAATCAAACAGTCACTCAACCATATACCCTAAACCCAATCTCACATTGGTTGATAATTAGATGGGTTAAACCCAAAACCGTAATCAAAAGCTCACTCAATCATATACCGTAAACCCAATCTCACATTGGTTGACAATTAGATGGATTCAACCCAAACTATAATCAAAAGCTCAGTCAATCATATACCGTAAACTAACCCCACATCGGTTTACAATTAGAACGGTTAAACCCAAAACCGTAATCAAACGGTCACTCAACCATATACCCTAAACTCAATCTCACATCGGATGACAATTAGATGGGTTAAAATCCAAAACCGTAATCAAACGGTCACTCAACCATATACCCTAAACTAAATCTCACATCGGTTGAAAATTAGATGGGTTAAACCCAAAACCGTAATCAAACAGTCACTCAACCATATACCCTAAACCCAATCTCACATTGGTTGATAATTAGATGGGTTAAACCCAAAACCGTAATCAAAAGCTCACTCAATCATATACCGTAAACCCAATCTCACATTGGTTGACAATTAGATGTGTTCAACCCAAACCGTAATCCAAAAGCTCACTCAATCATATACTGTAAACCAACCCCACATCGGTTAACAAGTAGATGGGTTAAACCCAAAACCGTAATCAAATGGTTAGCCAATCATATACCCTAAACTCAATCTCACATCGGTTGACAATTAGATGGGTTAAACCCAAAACCATAATCAAACAGTCACTCAACCATATACCCTAAATTCAATCTCACATCCGTTGACAATTAGAATGGTTAAACCCAAAATCGTAATCAAACGATCACTCAGCCATATACCCTAAACCCAATCTCACATTGGTTGACAATTAGATGGGTTAAACCAAAAACCCATTTAATGTGTGTAATTTCTAAAAATTTAATTTTTATTTTTTAATTATTTTTTATTTGCCACGTCACACATTTAACGGTCAACTGTCAGAGTTGACCGCCACGTCAGTCAAAGTTAACGGAGGTTAAGGGAGAGTGACCGAACTTGAACTGTTCAACTAATTCGAGTGACTATAAATGGAATAAATTAATTTGAGTGGCAAACATGAAATTTTATAGCAATTCGAGTGACCAAACTTGCAATTAAGCCCCAAATAAATTGATGCAGTCCGAGTGGTTAAGGTTGCTATTTCGAGGGCCAATGGCACAGGTTCGATCTCACGGGCGGGTGATACAATTAAGTAGGCCGTGAGAACTTCTGGAGACAAGGGATCAATGTGAGAACTTCTGGAGACAAGGGATCAATTTAATATTTTCCCGGACTAATCTCACGACCGTGAGAATATCCAACACAGGGCATGAGAACTCCAGGAGGAGTGCTGGGGGGACAATTTCTTCTTTCACGGTTGCTCTAACGACCGTGAGGTTCCCAGCCGTGAAACTTTCAGAATCTACTGACATATGAAATACAAGAAGTATCGAATGAAACACAATGCAGTTCATAGAAGATTCCACTGTTATGTTCACAAAACTATTTCAGAAAACCAAGAAACAGTCAAGACATTACAAACTCAAAAGTAAGTATAGTGCCAGCAGCAGATTTTATAGCCCCCAAGTGGTAGCACCAGAGAAATAGCTCGTAAATCTTACATATAACCAACTTCAGTCGTGCATGATCTATACTGCTAGTTTCTTACTAAAGTAACTCACTACCCGAGTCTGCTGCCAAAAACTATCCACGTATATTGATTTCCAGCAGATAACATTGCAAATAGAACATTTGTATTAGCATAACCTACCAGGAGTGAGAAGGCTCTCTCGACAACTGAAGCAAGTTTTTGAAGCTACTCTGCTCAATTCCAATTGGCGTGCAGATACCTCGATGAATGGCTCGATTGGGAAAAGATTTTGATAAGATCTAGCTAGATGGGGTGATGAGATAAGCATCTACCCCATCTTGGCCATATATACCATTCACCTACTTTAGCTTCTCTGTGGCAGGAGCAAATTGCTATAGAACCTTCTGCTGCTCTTTGTGGAATACCCATCTTGATCAAGTTCGCAATGGCGAATTCAGCAAGGGCGGGAGGAGGTGGTGCATGCTCTAATAAGAGCTCTTTGAAATGACCCTGTAAGAAAAGAATGTGCACCAATTCCATCAGTGAAATGTAGAAAGAGAAACCTCAAGAGAATGGAAAAAGAGAAGAAAACCATCCAATAATCAACAAACAGAGCGATGCCAAACATAACTAAAACTAGGAGGTTCAATAAAAGGAGCAACAGAGAGTAACTTACACAAACTAATCACTCATTTCAAAATTCAATAACCTCTACACTTATAACTCGTCAAGCACCAATTATCAGGTCCAATTATACAACCAAATTTCAGCTTGTTTCCCAATACCAAAGATATAGTTATCATAAAAAGCTTCCACCTTGTGGTAGAAAATCAGTCACTGCAGCAACGAACAAAAATGAAACTTCCATATTGGAAAGTAAACCAGAAATGGATGAACTACTTAGCAATATGCCAATATCGAAGCCACATAGATATTCAAGCAGCCAAATGAAAAAGGGTGTGTGAAAAGCTTACATATTTCTTGCGGCCATAGCCTTCTTCACCACTACCATAGCCATACTGGTTGCGAGACTCCTCCTTGTCATCGTGATCGTAATCATCATTGTGGCGCATCCCATAAGCAGGTTTCTCGGAGCTATCTTGTCTCCGGTAACCTCCAGAGCCATACGCACTGTCTCCTGACGCATCTCATAACGTTCACATACACGAAATCACAACTCTTGAACATTCAGCGTTCATTCATTAACATCCCAGATAGTCAAACTATAAAGTCTACATACACGAAATCAAAAACCTATGTAAAATTTGAGTTGTAAGCTGGAATCCAAGAATCTAAAGATTTTAATCTTACCAATCGCATAAAAGTTCCAAGACACCCTGCAAATTTTTCCAAATAGTACCATAACAAGATCGTGATATCCATATGCTATATCGATAAGCGTAACCTGTCCAAATATGCAATCATGAAATAGAGGTAGAAGCATATACAGCGTAAATTCTACCAAGTTCATTGATGTACTAGCAAGCATAGGAGTTGACTTGGGATTTTTACTACATTGCATGCAACAAGACAATTCCACGAGTACCTGTAACCAGGTGTGAACTAGGTTCTTCTCTTTCCTCGGTGATCCGGATCGAAACATCAACAAAATCTGGGGTTTGTTAGAGTTTCGTTTGCACAGCTGGTAGCTCCCGACTTCTTCAGACCCAGATGAGGAGGAGGCCTTCTTGTTGCTGTACTTTGCCAGAGACTCTTCAAAGAGGATGGTCGCGGTCCCTTCAAAGGCTTTCCCTGAGGAAAATGGGCTCTTGACTATAGACTTCAACAGTTAGCGCCATGTCCTGGAAATCGTATCATCCAGCAAAGCAGCAAACTTGGTCTTCCATGTGGGGTTTGCATTTCCAGAGCCATCTTTTGCGATGTTGGTGCAGGCGTGCAGCACTTGTTATCGGGAACAATCCAAACAGCAGGAAACAACTGCCTCTTCCAGAGGGAATAAGAACGCCTAACGCCTCGAGCAGAGATGAGACTTACTTCTACCCATATCTTACCACCCATTGCAGGAATCAGAGTGGACGAATGCACATAGAGATGCTCATCAAAAGAACTGAACTTTTGCCTTTACTTTTCTACCTGAGATCGATTGGTTCTACTTTTCACAAAGTGGGTTCAAGCAGAAAAGAAAAGAGAATAACAATGCATTATCTGCAACCCAGTAGTCTGCACTCTGCATTACTACTTTACTTGGTGAAAGAGCAAATTGAATTTCTTATGCCAAAACCACTAATCAAAGGACAAAATGCCAAACCCGTTTTTGGCTGTCGAAAGTGCACCACAAACAAGCAAAGAGAGAAGAGAATACAGAACTTGTCAATGACACGAAACTCTCTGTTCGGACACTGTAAAGATTAAATTAGTTTATAGATGGATAAGGTAGTAAAGCTTAAGCTTATAGTCGAAATTTCAACAGAATCCCACATGGCGAAAACGAGTAAATATATTGATCTAAGAGACTAGACCAGAGTACAACAATCGATTTCTAACCTGGGACTGGGATCTCTGCTGTAGTCTATATTCTATCCAAATGGCTGTGGAGTTGAACTATACAAGCTCAGTCCTCTGCAGATTCTCCAACAGTTACCTTAAGAGAAGGTAACTCTCTGGGAGGTGGAATTAGCAAGAGTTTTCTACCTACACGTTTCGCCATGTGATTCTGATAATCTCCACCAGCATTATCACAGGTTGGAGCAGTCCTTGTGTACATCATTGTGGTAGATCCCAAAATGTCATCTCCAAACCCACAAGCTTTGAAGAACGATCTGGAAAACCCAAACCAGAACCACACTCAAACCCTTAATTCAATCAACCTAACAACAGCAGAGAATCAATGGGAAGATGGCTCCGCTTAAATTACCTCTCATTGGCAGAGCAAAGGGCTGCAATGTCATAAATGTCTCTGCTAATCAGTATTCTGAAATCAACATAAAGGAGAAACCCACGACACTAATCAAAATCTTTTTGGCACTCGGCAAAGGTACCGCTGGCCAAGCTCCAAGACTCTGCATAAAGGAACTACCTTGTGATTTTCTGAAGGATCATCTCCTCCTTGTCATCGTGATCGTAATCATCATTGTGGCGCATCCCATAAGCAGGTTTCTCGGAGCTATCTTGTCTCCGGTAACCTCCAGAGCCATACGCACTGTCTCCTGACGCATCTCATTACGTTCACCTTCCTCTCCATAGCTCTGCTTTCCCCTTCCATATTCTGACCCACCACCGCTTCATACTCTGATACAGTCCGGCGACCGTGACCAGATCCATGCTCGGACTCAGTCCTCCCTCCATAACCCGACCCGTATTCGGATTCAGTCTTGCCACCGTACCCGGATTCCTGGTTACGGTCATAACAGATATGTACTCAGACTCCGGCTGCCAGCCGTATTCGGGTTCCTGCTTACGGCCATAGCCAGATCCGTACTCGGATTCCGGCTGCCGGCCTTATTCCGATCCATATTCAGATTCTTGTTTATGCCCATAGCCCGATCCACCATACTCGAACTCCTACTTACGCCTGTAACCCGATCCATGCTCATATTCGGTTCTTCGACCATATCCGTCGCTGCCAGGTCCGTATTTAGTCTTTGTCCTCCCGCTGTATCCGCCGCCACCAGATCTGTATTCAGTCTCTGTCCTCCCGCCGCCATCGCTGCCAAATCCGTACTCGATCTCAATCCTCCTGCCATATCCGCCTCCGCCACCGATCTCAGTCCTCCCACCATATCTGGATCCGTACTCAGAATCACCGGCAGGCATGCCCCCGCCGGCCTGAAATCCGTAAGCGGGACCAGATCGGGGCTAGGACGGGAGTAGCTGCTCGAGGTAAGAACCTCGTCGCCGTAGGCATAGGGCTCCGATCATAATAAAAAAAACGCTCCGATTTTTTGTACGGGATGGTCAAAGAGTAGAGAGACGATGCGAGATCAAAGGAAGAGATTCGCTGCCTTTGGAGTTGGAGTCGGTAACTGCATTTTCGGTGACAGCAAGAATGGATGTCGGCGGTGAGAAGAGGGTCTCAGATCTGCTCGGAGAGGAGAAGGATAAGAGAATGGGTTTCCAACTTTTTTCACGTACAACCGGTTGTACCGGTTGACCATAAACAAATAAAACAATATATTAATAATCTAAATAAGATCTAATGGCTGATATATTTTGAAGATAATCTAATGGCTGTAAACGTTTTATAGCACCAATACTATAAAGCACACTAAAATGCCTCATAGTTCTGATATATAACTAGCATACCATAGAATACGTTTATGGCATCTAAATTAAGTACAAGAGGAGGAGTTTCTAAACTTTTGTACATTGAACGATCCTTCACCTAGAACACCACCACCAAGGGTCATTTCAAATGTCCACCACTCAAAAAACAACACACACACTTGCTTCCCCATTTTCACCTCCCTTCCCTTGAACCATCCCTTCCTCACTTGGGGGTGAATGCCTGTGAAAACAAAACATAAGTACCAAGAAAGCATGTCAGTCCAATCAATCAAATATATCGTTCTTGTTTGTTGTCGGTTTTTGGTGTTAGTGACGACACAAGAATTGTCCTGCTCTCTATTCAACTTAGGGGTGGAGTTCCGGTTAGTTCGGTTATAACCGGTAATTGACTGGTCGGTTATCAGTTAACCGAACAACCCTCCCCTCTTACTGACAACCGCTCGAAATAGGCTTCGGTTATCTCGGTTACCGATTAACCGAGCCTCCTCCAATATCAAAACTATCTCGTCCAGCCTCCGATAACGACCAAATTTTGGTTATATCGGTTCCCATTTGGTGGATAACCGACCGGTTATCGGTTTAACCGACCGGTTAACCGGAAACCGGTAACGAAACTCCACCCCTAATTCAAGTAGCTAGGTAATGCTTTCTCCTGTTGCTCCTAACAGAACCAGAAGTAGGGAACCTCTCAGTATTGAACTTAGCTTTCAGTCGTAAGGACATCCATCCGGGAGTCTGAAGTTCATTAGTATGGGTGGATCATATATATTTTGGTGAAGTAGTACTTGAATATTATGTTTAACCTTTTCTTACTGTAGTTCCTTCTCATACTATCATTATTTAATCTCTTCATACACAGTGGATGATGCCATGCACGTTAATAATGATAATGAAAATCCTTAATATCTTCTCTTTGTGTCGTTGACGAGGATGGAATAATTGTTACTATTGGATAAAAAGAAATGTTACTAATGCAAAGGCCGCTTACCATTCGACCATAGCAAAATTGTTATTACCGCCCATAATCTTTAACAATTAACATCGATTTTATTAATAATATAAAAAACATAATGGATGATGATGTACAGAAACAAAATCCCATATAAATTAAGAATTCTCATCCTAATGGTTACTAATTCAACGCAAACGAGTTACTAATTTGACCATAAAAATAATAATGACTTTGAAACTAATGCTAGTTCGATAAGTATGACTAAAAAAGTTAATAGCTATAACTCTCAAACAAACAAACAAACAAAAAAACAAAAAAACAAATACTAATGTATCTAAATGCCGATGATGACTATTCCTGACAGCGACGGTAAGAAGACCAGCGGACTGAAGGTTGGCCGACTAACAAAAGCAGGAGGACGATGACAAACGACCAATATCAATAAAAAAAGTCAACATCTTCCCGACGAGTATCACAAACGACAAACGTAAGCTCCGACATCTTCTTCTCGGTGGGTATCATAACGAGAACATGTAAGCAGGGGTGGAACCAGCACGTTGGTAGATGGGGCCATGACCTCCCTAAGAGTTTAAAATCCTTGTAAGTAGCATGTAGACCAACGTTGAATTATAGTTGTTGAAGCCCTCTCGATCGGCCAACTCTTCTTCCGTACCAGCTGACTCCCTCCCAATGAAGCCTGCACTCACAGAGGTGGGCCTTGTGGCCCGTTAGTCCTCCAACGCTCAAGTCAGTATCTTTCTTAGAGAGAGAAGTGCTTGTAATGCACAATGGTTAGTGAGAGAAGCCAAATTGAGTAAATGCTTACCCACCTCCCTATTTATAGCCAATTACTGCTTACCTGGACCTTCTCGTACGGATTTCCACGTCAGCCCTACATTTAATGCGGGTGACCCAGGGCGCCTCCTCCGAAGATGACTCCAGGCGCCCTCTTCGTGTGCCCACAATTCCCAAGTGCCTACCTAGGCACCTATTGTGCGAGTACCCCTAGGCGCCTAGTGTATGCAACTCCCAACTTGCTCTTGATCTAAGCCCGAAGGCGCCTATCATGACCTACCCCATCTTGAATGGGCTCACCCTTCCTCGGACTGTTTGGGCTTCACACCCTTTAACGGGCCTCATCCATATATCGGGGCCTCCTTATTCGTATACCCCCAACAATTGCCCCCCAGTTAGGTGCTCAAATTCGGATTCTTTGAGCGCCTAACTATTAGGCTTTTGCTCTTTCTTTTCCAACTCTTATTACGGTGGCCGTTTGCCCCCCAATCATCTTTCCTTACGGCGCACGAAATTCGGCAATCTTGTTTCTGACGCAGCGCCCTCCCTTTGTCCCCAGGCGCATTGTGCTGGCACCACTTAAAATTCCTTCTTCAAGGCGCCTAAAACCGTTACCCATTGATTAAAGGGCGCCTTTTCCTTCCCAGGCGCATTAGTTCCGCATCCTTTAACTCCCTCGCCTTGTGCCCTAGTCGTCCGAGCAACCCAAAGCGCCGCCACTCCTTCGACCCAAGGCGCCCCGCTTTGGTTCGCCGGTTACCTGGCCGCCATTGAACCTTCGCGTCTCCTCTGTCCAAGGCGCCTCCGCACTCCCCTAATCCAAGGCGCCCTGCCTGTTCCCTTATCGAAGGCGCCTCTACTTCGCTTGCTACCCAGCCGCCTTTGCGCCTAAGCCGCCTCGCCTTGGTTCGCTTGTTACCCGGCCGCCATTGAACCCTCGCGTCTCCTCTGTCCAAGGCGCCTACGCACTCCCCTAATCCAAGGCGCCCTGCCTGTCCCCCTGATCGAAGGCACCTCGACTTCGCTTGCTACCCAGCCGCCTTTGCGCCTAAGCCGTCTCTCTCCTGCCCCCCTTCACAACCAGCGCGACGTTCGAGGTGGTTGTGAATTTTGCCACGTGGCAGTCGGCACGATATTCGAGGCGCTCCCGTTTTCTTTAAATGTAAGTCGATTCCCGGCATAGTTCTTCATTCGCCCTCAATTTGCCTTCTCACTCTAGTTTCTCTCTCTGCTGTGCCTCTCTCCTTTCTCAGCGTTCAGCCGATCTCGCCGTGATGTATCTCCCATCTGATGCTGCCGCCGCCGCCGCAGGCTCTTCCCAAAATCCGGGCGGCCCTTCTAAAACCGGTAAGCCACTCCCTTTTTTTTTTTTTTTTGCGTGAATGCTTGTGTATTCTTGCGATGGAGGCGCCTCTTACTGCTCCAACGGTTGTGCGCCTACTTGACTTGTTTTAGTGGAGGCGCCTGCATTGTCACCTATACCGACGCCTTCATCGAACTACGACGTGCCGGAGGATGGGTCGTACAAGATGACTACTTGGGAAGGCACCTGGCCGCCGGAGTATGCGCCCTGGGAGACTACATGTTTGCCGACAAATGTGGCAGGGCCTGAGCATAACTCCACCATTTCGGCGTCTTGGATGAAAAGTTTGATCGATGGGCTCGGGCTCCCACGCACCTGGACGTATGCGCCTCCATCGCCTATGGCCAGGGTGGGTTTGTGCGGGCCCCGTTGGTTGGGAGTATATCAGGAGTATTTCCGGTTCGGGCTTCGGTTTCCCATAGATCCCATATTGGAGGGCATTCTGGAGTATTGCGAATGCACAATCGGGCCTATCTCCGTCTGTGATACTTATTGTTGTGCTCTTCAAGTTGAAGTGCCGGATTCACCATGTGCGCCCAACCTTCAACCTATTCCGCCACTTTTTCTCGGTGATTTCTCGGGACAACTGTCTGTCCTTGAAGCGGCGGAAGAAATTGCACGCCCATTTTGTGACGAAGTGCCCTAAATTGGGGCGCACATGGTTCAACGGGTTCTTCTTCATAAAGGCGCATAGGGACTATTTCTTTGAAAGCGGAGGCGCCTTTAGGACTGACTGGGAGCTTGGTATTGAGGCGCGCTTCAACGCTGCCGTTGTCCTTAGTCGAGAAGAGCGAGCCGGGGCCGCCCTAATAAGCGCCTCGCTTGTCAACTTGCGCCCTACTAGTGCACGGGCGCCTATTTTAGAGGAATACTATGCGGATGGTGTGTTAGAGTGCCGTTTATGCCTTTTGCATTCTCTTTTGGGCGCCTAGCTAATCCCTTGGATTTGTTTGCAGGTACGAGATTTGGGCGTATTGCAGACTTGATTAAGAGCCGTTATGAGAGGATGACTCTGGAGGAGCCTCAACAAGGAGGGTCCAATCTTGGGGGGTCTTCACCTGCCTCAGTTTCCACCCCACAACCATTGGTGGCGCCTACGGAGAGAGGGAAGGGAAAGGCGCCCGGAGAGAAGATTGCTAGGGCCTCCAGCGAGGCGTCCACACCATCAGGCGCGGATTATCGTGAAGACCATGTTGTGGTCGAGGACCTGGACGATGAAGAGGATGAAGTGCCCTTGGTCAGTCGAGGGAAGAGGGCAGGCGCCCAACTGACTCCACCAGCAAAGCGTCATAGAGCCGAGGGAGAAAGAGGCGCCACAAGTCAGGGTGAGGCCCACTCCCCGCGATATGCTATCGTGGAAGGGCGCCTGCTGGGGCCTGATGGGTTGCCCCCCATTTTTCAGCCCAGGCGCACCGAGAT